CACTTCCCCCCTTCCTTTCTCTCATCGAAGGAAGCGATTTAGCAGAAAACAGTAAATGAACAGAAGTTACCTGCGGTTTATTAGATAAAACAGAATTTATTGCGCATTTACTGTAACGAGTTGTAAGAGGAAAGCTATGTTCTCGAATATCACGCGTTGCGATGAAGTGAAGTGTGTTAAAATGGCTTTCGAAATTTTGGCTCTATGTTAAACCTTAAATTCTATGGCGCAGTAGAAGCTAAGTTAACAAAGTAGCTTTAACTCTAATAATACCATTTACTCCTACCTAATAATACCTTTAACTTTGATGATGTCCGAAATTTTTCTTCTCTCTTTAGCGTCAAAATAAGTGTTGAATAAAATAGTGAGACTGAAAGTAGAAACAAAATTTCAACTTGGATGAATACGAAAATATCGAGAGCAATTGACAGACGCAACGCGACGGAGTAGAGTCTAAAAATAAAGCGAAACTCGATATCTCATTATAAGACTACCGTCTCATTCAGCGATTTAACTTGCTCGGCGAATAATTAAATGCTCACGCCCCGGGAGAAATAATAAATCTTATTGTATTACGCTTCCGACTGATGCGCGCCAACTGTCCCTTCCCCCCCGTCCTGACGCGCAAGAGCCCCGGCTAATCCCTTCAAAAATAATTGATCCTGAAGGATCGAGGGTATAGTTGAAATCGAGGGATATATTCCTAAGTGGATTAAGCGGCCGGCTTAAGTCCGGCTCAAGAAGTTGCCCCGTTGCCAAAGTGGCGTGTTTAATAACGGCGGCTGCGGTTGCAAGCACGGCCCTGGTAATTGTTGCAGAATTTCGAAAGCCTGATACACGTCGAGTGCACGGGGAATGTACGCGCGCGCAACGACGCGGCCGTCCGTTGCCGCGTAGATTGGAAGAAGGGAATTTGCGAGGCGCGCCTTGCATCAAGGGTGCACGAGAGCAAGGAGATGAGAACGAGGTGGAGAGATCCGAGGAGCTGGAGGTACAGGAGGAGGGGAAGGTGGAAACTCGATGGAAAATGCACGTCGCCGGAAAATGCGCGCACGCATCCCTAAACCGCTCTGTACCGAGAGAGAAACTGACGAGAGAAACGCTAGTCGAAGGGAAATCGTTTGCGGCTTCGCAAACGATCGTGAGACACGAGTCAAAATTTTAGGGCTTATTTTTGGGCCTGAACGTTCTGATATCTGTATATTGTGAAAGATCAGTGTACCAGGTGTAGAAGTATGAAACCGGAATTCCCCTATAAATGGTGCCAGCGTTCAGTTTAGTGACCGTAAGACCGCTACTGCCGCGCTATTATATTCTCCTAACAGCTGACGAATATTGTCAACAAACATAACCCCAACTTTCATTCTCTAGTATATTTTTGTATAACCTTAAACATGTCACGTTTCGAGCCTACTAACTATGATTTGCGGACAGCATTGATTTTCTGTTATCATTTAAAGAAAACTGCTGCAGAATCACATCGAATGCTTGTCGAAGCTTACGGTGAATATGCTCTTGGTAAATCTCAGTGTTTCGAGTGGTTTAAAAAATTCAAAAGTGGTGATTTTGACGTGAGGAACGAAGAACTATGAACTATGAACTATGAACTATGAACTGCTGAAACCTGGTCAAACCGTCAATACTAATCGCTACCAACAACAAATGATCGATTTAAATCGAACATTGACTAAAAAACGACCAGAATATGCAAAAAGGCAACACAATGTCATTTTGCTCCATGATAATGCCCCATCACATACAGCAAAACGGGTCAAGGAAACGATCGAGTCGTTCAGTTGGGAATTACTACCGCATGCGGCTTATTCTCCAGACTTGGCTCCGTCCGATTATCACCTGTTCGCATCGCTAGGACACGCTCTCGCTAACCAACGCTTCGATTCGTATGAAAATGTGGAAAAATGGCTAGATAACTGGTTCGCTTCAAAAGATGAAAAGTTTTTTTGGCACGGCATTCATATACTGCCAGAGAGGTGGGAAAAATGTGTTCAAAACAGTGGAAATTATTTTGAATAAAGTATTATTTATCACTTTCGAACAACAGACGTCTTATTTGTATAAAAAAATTCCGGTTTCATACTTCTACACCTGGTATATGGAATACACATAGAAAATTTGATCCTACACGCAAAAAAAATTTCAGTTTGTGCAACCAACTAGGAACTAACTAAAAATTAGATAATCAGAAACGATATCTCTGTTATGAAAACTAATATTTCTGTTGTCGCAACCGAAAATATTCGTCTGAACATTCAACGATATTAGAACTCGGTTGAGGCAACTGAGAACAATTGACTATATAGAAACCTCATAAAGGAATTTTTCTGTTCCTATATCCGAGTTTTCGTCTGATCCCTGAGCAACTGAAAATTCGGTTGCACCAACAGAACTTTCCGTGTACTTAGCATTTCTAAATGGCAGAAAATGCATAAAATACCACCTGTAGGTTCTAAAGAAGGCCTCTCGACAAAGCTGGTAGATTAAACAGAATCAAAAGAAGTTGAGACTTCAGAATATGAAAATACTAGGCGTTAAGTGGCACATTGAGATCAAAAGGATCAAAATTTCGACTCGAGACGCACCGTGATGCGTCGTGACGTGGCATATGATATGAAGAAGCGATGAAATACGCGTCTTGTTTCGTCTTTCGGATACTTTGCATATCCGCGGTACTCGCAACGAGCAAGCCTCTGTCCCGCAAACGTGTGCCTTTAATCGCAGCAATGCTGCAAAAAATTCGCCCCGCCGGCGGGCGTAATAAATCGCTCTTTATCGCGATTCGCGCGACTATCGCGACGGCGTTAATGCGCCAACTCTTCGAGGCTCGGCACGGTCGTTCTGGTACGGCGAGGAATATTAATATGAGTCTAATTTATCGCGACGAGCTTATCGCGCGTGACTCTGATTAGCATCCCCGGTATCTCTCACAGTACTTTCTATGCGTTGGCAATCGATATCCCATTTAGGGTGAAACGAGGCCCTCGCTCAGCAACAATATGAATAGATAATCCATCGATTCGTTTATTTCTCCGCGGGGAATATCGAAGGTGAGAGAGCGCGACGGGAGAAGAGTCGCGATCGATCGCGCAATGCGGCGCGCGCGACTTAAAAATTGTCGAATGTCATTAGCTGTGCAAATCAATTCGGTGCTTCTATCTTCAGTTAGTCATAACACCGCTTCGAATTCAAATATCTTCTTGCCGTTTGGTGGGTTTTGAAGTGCCGACCTTGAAGTGTAAAATGCGCCATATACCTAGTAACATAAGCTCACAAAACGGTATTGAACACGATGGCGTGCGATAAGCAGCATATCAGATACTGCATTCTTTTCGCTTTTCGATTAAAAAAAAAAGTGCTGCTTAGGCTGCAAGTATGATTTTCTTAGTTCTGGGTCAAGCTGCTATAGCACACAAAACCTTACTGATAAACAACACTCGCCCGCACGACAAAGGACACTATCTATTCGTTGGACTGGGAAACTCACCCCCATGCGGTTTATTTACCGGACCTGACCCCTTCGGATTACCATATACCCCGATCGCTCCAACACCACCTGACTGATATATACTTTAAAAGTGTGAATAAGCGATGAAGATGCATCGACAGTTTCATCGATTCAAAGCCACCGTCTTTCGATAAAAAGAAGAAATTCGATAAATTGAGAAAGTTTTAGAAAATGATGACGAATATTTCGGATATTGACATATTTTTTTTTTTTGTAAATGAAGGCTCAATTTCTCCAAACAAAAGCACCGAATAATTTGCGCACCTAATATATTGCACGCAGGGGTGAAAGGAGAGGAACAGACGAGTTTCGAGGTTTACAATTTCGGTGTAGCGCCACGTAGATAACGTTGTGTTCGTTTTTTGTTTTGTTTTTTAATTTATATCGAGAGATATCAAACGGAGTCGAAAAAATCAAATTCGGCGATTGAAAAATCGCGAAATAATAATATCGCAGCGATGGCTCCGATATAAATTCAATGCTCGACGAAGAGCTGTATTAATTACAGGAATACGCGGATATCAGTATGCAAAACTCATCGCCCGAGATACGTAGGTGTGAACTGTGTTTTTTTTGCCGACCTGCTTTCTCTTTAATATTCAGTTTTCCTCTTTCTTTCTTTCTCTCTCTCTTTCGCGTGCGCCCGCGCTTAAATTCCCCGAATCTGATCAAAAACGGAACGACGAAATTAGCCCTCCATTCGGAGATACAAAACGGAGAGAGAACGTAGGTAGTATTATTTCAATAAACTCGAATTTCACATACGCGACAATGTATATTTTAATAAACGCCATTCAATTCGCGATTACATCGGGCGAATTTGCCTTAGCCGTGACTGATTTTGCATGCTCGGAACGGTGCGCGTATCGTCATAAGCGCCGCGTAATTTCCTGATTAAATGCGATTACCCGGAATACAACTAATTCCCGTACGCGGAAAAAAGAATGCAATTTGCCCGTTGATCGTATCGTAATTCTCCCCTAGGCCAGCCGAGCGCGTGGCTCTTTTCTGCAGTTAGCGGCCGCGCACTTCAGCCGATTCATAATTAAACAGAATTAAATGGCTCTCGATTAAACATCCGACTTAGCCCCCACCTCCTCCTCCTTCTGCACACCCGTCGTCCCGAAATAGCTGCAGATTACCCTTATCGTCACGTCGATGGTCGATTGATATTTTAATAGCGCTTAATTTGAATGTTAATTCAACGCGCTAATCAATCATCGCGGGGCGCGATAAGGCGCGTCTCGCGTGCGAGTGCAAGTGATGTGTGCAGCACCTAGTACGAGAAGTAACGACGAGGCGAAGGACGAACAGGTGTCCCGATGTGGGCAGGCCGGCGGCGACGCTTGCGCGTCGCAACGCTCCCTCGTCGAAGGGTGGACGCGCGGGTTGGGGCGGTGGCGGGCGAGGGTGAGAAGCGCCGGCAGGTTGGGGGTGGCAGCGGTGAAATAAAAGCCAGTGGGCTAGTAGTCCGCGGCGAAGCAACAACCCTCGTGGATCGTTGCTCTCGCCCTTCGCGCTCCGCTCCGAGGTCGACTCGCAATTATCACTCGCTCGCCTTCTCCCCCTTTCTTTCCTTCCTTCCTTCCTTCCTTCCTCCCTTCCTCCCTCCTCCCGTCCGCCTGCCCGGCCGCCTACGCTCCGTTATCAGTGACGTTCGCGCGCGCTTGGTGCATCCGTTTGAAATCACTGTCGCCGACTTGTCGATCGGAACAGGGAGAAAGAGAGAGGGGGGAGGTGGAAGAGAAAGAGAGAGAGAGAGAGAGGAAGAGTGTGTCCTGTCACCATGGAGGAAAGTTCGGCGAACAATGTGCGTCCCTTGCTCGCCGCAGCGCTTTTCCGAAAGATCGGACGGGCAACTTCGTGTTCCGCGAGTTCCCATTAGATAGAGCGGTCGCGGCTCGATTTGAATTCCCCCGAGCCTGCAGAAATTCCCCGGGAGCCATCAGCGACAGAGAGAGAAGGAGAGAGAGGGAAAGTCGCTTGTGAATTTGTCCTCGAACTCGTATTGTTTTAATTGATCCCGACGCGCTCCTTCGAATTCGCGTTCGCGAAGAGGAATCTGCGGAGGAAATTTCAGTGCGGCACTTCGTCGCTAGCTCTATCTTTCTCTGTCTCTTCCTCTCCTCGAGTCGGACTACCGCGAACATATTCCGTGACCACCGAATTTTGGTATCTGCGAATTTCCTCGAATTCATTTCAGTAATTCAGCTTTCCACGAACTCTTATTCGCACTCCTCGGAAAATCCCCCGGAGTGTTTCGGTTTCTCGAGTTTCCCTCAAAGCGCCCTTTCTCGAATTCCCGAACCTGTGAAGATCCCGTCACCTCGCGAGATTCCGGATGCTTGAGTTTTTCAGTGACGTCGCCCTTCTCGTTTCCCACACCTGACGTCTCATTAAGCAGTCCCGCAAAATTATCGCGCTATTCATCCGTTTGATCTAATTTTCGTTATCGCTTAATCTTTCTTTCTCTCTTTTTTTCTTACAGAAAAGTCCACTTCCTCGAGACAATCGCGGAAAATTTCCAACTCTTCGGGCTTGCAACTAGTGGAATTATCGGCACTTTTATCATGAAACCCTAAAGAACGTCTGCTGAAATATTGAGGGCTGTAATTCCGGGAGCTGTTGCAGTCCAGCGACTTCCCGCGAGTTTATGAATCATTGGACCATTAATTTTCATCCCGCCAGCATCCCGATTCGCTGTTCCATATTTGAGAGCTATAAATCGACCGGAAACACGCGAAACACTCGCAAGTGCGAGGTTTTTTCAGAGGCTGCCCGCTCGAACGCGCAAATTCGATTGAATCCGCGATAGACTAATGACAGCGAAAGTTGAAAGTTCTCTGGTAGTCCTCGTATCTGCCAAGTGATAATATTCATGATCGTTCGCGCGAGCGATCAGCTCGTCGATGTAACCTGTTGAGCGTGTAATCCTCGCTTTTCACCAATATATCATTCGGTATATCGGATCAGTCGCATCGACGAAATTGATTCGCCATCGACACTCGTGACTCGCCGAAGACGCCAAGAGAGAATGGCCTCTCCCGTCTTCGCGCCGAAATATCCTGGCAGTTTTACTAGCCCGCCGTCATGAAAGGATAATGGATGCGAGGATCCGTGGTGAAAACACAGGAATCAGGCGTCGAAAAGACGTAGGAAATCGTCGGAAAATTTGTGAGCTCCTCGAATCTTTCAATCTCTATTTTCGGTTCTGCAGACAAATTTCGAGTTCCCGGCTTTAAAGTATTCAGATCCTCGAATCATCTCAGAGCTCTACAATAATTTTTACTTCCTTGGATCTTTATTCTTCTGTCTTATGAATTTCTTAGCTCGCCAATTTCCCGACTTCGCATATTTTGCAAATTTCGGGTTCCCGACTTCTACCCTCAAATATTCAGATCCTCGAGTCATTTTATCCGCGATATAATTGATATCTTCTTGAGGCTCTTTATTCTGAAATTTTTTCACTCGTAGGCATCCTTTTAACTCGCCAGTTTCCCGACTTGGCAGATTTTCCACGAGCCGGGCTCGTGGCTCGAGTTTTTATTTCACAAATTCCCGACATTCCGTATTGTTGGCCCTCGATATCGCGGCTCTGGCGAGCTCTCGTTCCTCGAATTTCTATCTCTTGAAGTATTTCAACTTTCATTCATGACTTTGCCCGGGTATCCTCTTTTTTTCCGGCTCGCGGTTTAACACAACGTCCCTTTATGAAATCGACTCGCTTTAATTTCACTCAATTATAGCGCATATCCCTCGTAATCTTCCCGCCTCGTAAATCCTCAGATCCCACGATACGTTCCCAACTGTTGACCGCAATCCGTTACAACCACCGTCGACTATCCCGACAAATCTCCATTCTGTGGGCCCGCGTTGGCGTCCTTTAACGAGCCTAATAGTGCGCGATTTCGCAGATGGAGAATCCTCGCGTGCCGTGAATAATAAAAAAGGAGGGGGGGAGAGAGAGAGAGTACGCGTTTGAGTGCGTCAAGTTCCAACTGAGCGATGACGACGTCGACAATTGTGAGTGTCGTCCTGGCGGATCCTTACGAGGATTCGCCGGCCTTGTGGGACGCTGCGAACTCCAGCGAGATCGACTTGGAGGCGAGTACGAGCTTCGACGCAAACCAAGACGAGACAGAGCAATTCAACAACTGGTGGGCGATGCTGGCGCTCGTCCTGGTGCTGGGAACGGCCGCGGGGAATATCCTAGTGTGCATGGCGATCACCTGGGAGAGGCGGCTCCAGAACGTCACTAATTATTTCCTGATGAGCCTGGCCATCACGGACCTTATGGTCGCAGTCTTGGTGATGCCATTGGGTATTCTTACGCTAGTCCGAGGTAAGCTTTTCTCCACAGGGCTTTCCCTCACGACTGATGTTCGCGCTGACGGACGCTCGTTCTCGCGAGTTAACAACAGGAAAAGCCCGGATTCGCGGATGATTTACGCGCGTCCCGACACGACTCGGCATATATTTGATATTGGGTGATATTAAATTTTCCCATATGTGATACCTAATATTTATTGACACGTATTCGCAAGCGCATTTCGTTCAAATGTTTAACGTCTAATATTTGATGTAACTTTAATGTGCCTATATAAATTATTATCTTTAACAAACGTTATTTAACATAACAAATGTTAAATAACAAATGCAAACTCTTTCTCCTCCCACTGGTTATACGTGTGCGCTTTAATTGTGAAATTACACGACCGACTCTTCATTTATTCGGAGCCTTAATTATAAGGAGATACGACTTCTCCGTAATAATCTCGAATTTTCTTGACGCGCTGACATTTTACTCATTAAAAACATTAATTGCAAGTGCATGTAAACTTTTACGTCCATCTGGAGGTCTCCCGACATTTTCACTACTCTCTCCCCCTCCCTTTCATTTTCACATTTGCTCAGCTTTACTAATTATTAAAAGGATTAATTAAAGGCAAAAACAAGTTGCTGTAATTATTTGGAATTTTCTCGTAATTTTTTTCAATCCAATCCCCACATATTTTTAAAAAATTGTTTATTTACATCACTGTTTGTTTGTTAAAAATGTGGAATTTAAATCAATCGCAACTATTTCTCTTGAACAGTAATCATAAAAATATCAAGAATAAAAATAAAGTATATAAAAACCTATCGGTTTTAACTTATCGGTTTTCTCTTCTTCTCTCTCGTGTTGCGAACTGTCTGACTTATATCAGCTTGTTCTACTTGATAGAACAAATTTGTTCCATGTTGAACATTTTTATTCGCAACTAAATACGAACGATAGAATTCGCGATAACAACAACAATCAAGGAATAATCATAGCACTATAAATTTCAGCGTTATTAGCGGGGAATAATTACGTGCATATTTAGAGAACCTGGAAGGAAAGGGTTAAAAATATCTAGGGCGTTCGTAGTGAAACGTTAGCCGGTCGGGAGAAACTCGCCGAGGAAACAAACACCTGAGCGATAGAAGAGCACTATTTATAGGCCAATCGCTATTTCAAGTTATTTGAGAACGCAAAAGGAGAAGATACGAATTCGCGCGAGATTCGCACAAACAGCGCCATTTGTCACGACTATTATGTTCATATCTGAAAAGGATACTCTAGAGCGACAGAGTTAAAAATTGTCCGGCATGCCATATAAAGTGCCGTTCGCCTATTTCCAGCGGTTCGAGAAGGAAGGTGGAGATCGCGTAGGGCGCGCAAACCGCGTTATTTGTCGCCGGCGCTCACCGTGTCTGCCGGCAGTGGAAACGAAAAAAAAAAAAAAAATAGTCGGTAATTGAAACAGGAAACATATTTCAACGGCGAAGGCAGGAGGTTATTTATCTACGATGTCGCGCGTAACGTGCAATAAATATTTTAGATTTCGAAGAGTAGACTTATATACGTATATATGTGTATAACACAGTAAATATTAAATATCACTCACTCGTCATATGTACATATGTACAGGTGTATATGGATATGCGACAAAATACTTATCGCGAATATAGTGGCAGTTCTTTACCGGCAACGTGTCATGTCGCGAAACATCATTCGAATCTATTTGAAAGTTTACCCAACACACCACCGCGTGAAGTACCAATGCCCCGATACGTACCCAGTCCTAGACATTCGTATTGTTTTGGTCTTTAAATGCGAATATTTAAACTCTCAACATGAGATATATACAGAGTGAAATGAAGGATTCAAAAATAATGGGATAGATAATACTTGCCAAACTAGCAATAGGATGAAAAATATTTAGTGAACATGAGTCGAAAAATCAATCCTTTTGAGAGTTAGAGGCGATTTTCAGTTTTGATGATCTACATGATGTGTTAAGATTTTGTTGAGACAGCCTGTATTACAAGCGTTGTGAAAACAGAAGATTATATGACAACATTTTAATCACGTGTTTATAAAAAATGTTTAACATGTCCCCCTTCTATTTCTACATACAATTCTCACACACAAACATACACAAAGGATTAATTTACTATCTTAATAATTTACTATCTTACCTCAATTCGTGATATTAGATATTTGATTTGTAATCTATGATTACTCAGCTATTGCTACGTAGTTGCACAGTTATGAGATAATCTTCTGTTTCCACGTCGCATATAATAACATAAACAACCAAATCATGTACATCGTCAGAACTAAAAATCGCTCCTACCTTTCAAAGTGTTTTTTGACTGATATCTTCAAATTAGTAAACACAATTTTTCTTAGAAGTCTTGAACCTTTTTCATTAACATTCAGTATACATATATTAAATACACACATGTATTATTGTACTATCGTAAGTTTAAATATCCGTATTTAAAGACCAGAACAATAAGAATGTCCAGGATTAAATACATCTTCGAGAATTGGTACTTTTACCGTAGTCGCGTTCACGTTCGGGGTGACCCGATGGCGAGCAGGTTGAGAAAGATTTCCCATCGTTCCGAGTGACATGTACCGCCCAGAATCCGCACGAGAATCGACGAGAAGAATATCCTGAGGGAGCGACGCTATTCACAATCGTAGTCGTTCGCTGTTCGAAGAGGGATTCGGGGGAGGCGAAATTCGCGTAAGAACGCTATTTATCGTCGGCGTTGACGTGTTCACGTAATTGGAGAAGTTGAGAGAGCAAAGGGTTTAAAAATTCACCGTCAGTATTGCCGCCGAATGAGACATCTCTCTCGACTCGCGGTGGCGCAAAGATCATGAAAGATCGGGAGGAGGAAAAAGCCACGATATGTGTTAGGAGGGAAAAGTTGCGGGACGAAGGGACGCCGTTCGCCGAGTTCGGCCGAGCTATTTCGAGCAATTTGGCAAGCGAGCGAAATTCGCGTAAGGGCGCATAAACCGCACTATTTATCGCCGACATTACACGGGCTCGCATCGGTCTTCTCGCGTGATAGGTGGCTCTCGCCTTTACGAATCGCTTCGGAGGAGCTCAAGGCTCTTTGTTGGCCGAAACGAGCGCGCTTATGCATAATGGATCAGCGTGGCAGGTGACTAGTGATGCTTACGATACTTGCTCTGTGATACCGTGCAGTCTCTGACATTGATACGCGTATTATTCCTCGCGTATCGGCCAGACGACTGAATAAAGACGTCAATTAACCTCTTCACATTGCAGCGCGAGCAGAAAGCTCGGTTTTAGCCGAGGAAAAGGAGGAGAGGGAAATTCTCCTATTACAACCAACGAAACAGGATGAAAGCGTATGTTTGACTGGGCTTTTCGCGTCGCGAGTTCTCTTAATTTCTCTTAATTTCTCATTAAGAGAATGATTTATACACTGAAAAAAAGTGATTGATTCAATAAGACTTTGCTTGAACGAACAAAAGTCTTTGAAGCAAACGTTTAGTCGATTCAACGAATTAGTTGCTGTGATAAGAGTTGTATCAATTGGTTCAATGATAGCGATTTGATCAGTAACTATATCAATAACACGTAACTTATCGTTGAGTTAACGCATTATTTGTTCGATAGACAAAATATTTCAAAGGATTTCGTCGAACCAACCGCTTTTTTCTCAGTATAGGGGAGCGTTTTTAACACACGCAATGTCATGTGTGCATGCGTGGCTGTGAAGATTTCATACTTTTCACCGTTAATTATACAGTAACCGAGTGCAAGTGAATTATTATTCATTTCCTCGATCAACATTGGCGATAAGTGCGCTGCCGTGATATGCAATGATCGGATGGATAATAAGTAACAACGACGAATGAAAGAAAATCTTCATTGAAGAATGCGGTGATAATGAGAAATTTCCCAGAGAAACGATAGGAAATCCCTAGATAACCCTAGATTATCAATACTAGTTTTTTTATGAGTACATTTTAGAAGATCCCGCCCTCCTTCTCCATTAGAACTGCCTATTTATGCAGTTTTTTAAATAACATATTTTGCATTTTCGCTTTCTTCTCATTAATTTCTTGTTCAAGAGAAAGGTCCTGACAATAAATAATCGAGAAATGCCAAAAAAGGCGAATATTAGTAACCAGCGTCAAGAAATTTATATTCCAGACAGTTAATTGGATCGCGTCTTTAATCACGATTCGCGGCCGACGCGCCACGTGCTTGCGTGAAACGACGACTTCATTTAGCCGAGGTGGGTTCAAATATAGACGCGCGCCGGCGGCCCACAAAAGAAAGCAGCCCTGCGCGCGCTCGCGGGAAATGAACAGGGAAACGAGGGATCGATGCGCAGAAATAACCCTAATACGCGTTTATGGGATTTACCGCTTTGACTGGAGCTCCTGAGGGAGAGAAAAAAACTCGCACCCATGCACCGGTCACTCACGGCTGTTGATTTCACTCACTCACTCACTCACTCTCTCTCTCCTTCTCTCTGCTTTAAGGACATCCATGTTACGTGCGCAACATGCATTAATGGTGGTCCGCGGTATTCACGACGAGAGGAGGCCTCGCCGTGACACGCGATTCGCCAATTCTTCTCGTTCTTTCGCGAAATGAAGCAGTTGAACCGTGTAATAAGCGTGTAAGCGAGAGCCTATATGTTTCTTAAATATTATGGAGAAATTGGACGGCTAAGTGTAAACGCGATCGTTGCCCGACTTAAAATTTTAGCCTAAGACATATACAGGTAGTGAAAAATGATTCAAAATTTATGGGATAGATAATACTCATTAAACTGAGTGAAAAAAATTTAATGAATACTCAACTCGAAAACTCAACTTTTTCAGAATTAGAAGCAATTTTCGATTTTGACGATGTACGTGATTTATTTGCTTATTAAGGTACTTAAATAAGAATATTACTAATGATACGGCCGTACTTTCTAACATCCATTTATCCTGAAGAATCAATATTTAATACACGTAGAAAGTGGAACTTA